ATCTGCTTTATTTCGTCACTGAACGTGAGCGTCTTGTATATGACTAGTTGTGTAAATTCATGGGGAGCAGCTTTGCCAGCAAGGTAGCCGAATTGTACTGGTAAAACACGCGAGCTTAGGAGAGGCGATGTACATGCAAGAGAACGCACTATACGATGTGTATGACCACGAAACGATAATGACGCATGAGATAATGATAGCGCCCATAGGATCGATCCACCACCTAAGTTTAGCACCGGCGCTACTAGTAAAGAGACCAAATCCACTACCAACAGGATGTTAGTATTGGCTACTCGCAACCAAACCGACATACTTAATCAAGAGATCATTCCGATGATCCTGCCATAGAACCTGAACTTGCGAGCTCGAGTTTCGGATAGAGAAGCAATACAAAAAAAGAAGGCCTTTCGTGACTAAGGACATAGGTACGTGTTAACCAAGCACCTACAAGAAAACGAAACGGTCTCCTTACCAAAAGCGATGCCGACAGCAATAACTGAGGGAACATGAAATTCCAGAGTATCTCCACCCTTGTGGTTGGCTAGATCTTGGGCCGAGAAAGCCTGGTTTCAATATCCCTGTCAGTCACACAGAACTACGCTGAGATACTTGGCAGGCGCCAGACGTACTACAAGGATAATGCTGACAGAAAGCATGGCGGACGAATACACGATATTTCCGATCGTAGTTAGACGGGCACCACCCTGATGGAGTATATAAGTATATCAGCACATGATTCGCTCCGACATACGCCAGGATATTTATTAAAGTCCACGTGCTTCGACTTGCGATGAAGCAGGTTCAAGAGTATGTTCGCGAGGGGATCAGAGACTGAATCTGCAGCAGCTGTACAGACATCGGTAAACGTTACATGCAGACTCCGAACAAGCGTGGACTCACTAACGAAAAAAGACAAAGAGAGAGACGATATAGCAGCATAGAGCTGCAGAATAGATAACGTGAAGTTCGCAATGAACGAAACGTATACAGCGATTTTGACCTGCAGTCATTCAACCATGAGCCAATCTCCTGGAGTACATGTGACACGGACAAAGTACACACCTTCAAAGCGCTATCCCTCGTGTCGTCTTCCCCATCCTGAGCGTGACTCTCCATACTCTATACGAGAGAAGAAACAATCATCGTAAAAGACACCCCCATGACCAACCAATTGAACAGACCTTCAACAATGCATCAATCTTCTCGTTCTGGGTCTCGTAAAACTTCCCAATGTGACGTTGCTTACGCAGGTTCCATCGCTTACACAGAGCAGCCACTTCGTCCGGGTCCCGCAAAGCAGCTCTCAGCCCAAAGGGATCGTCAACTGGCGTGTCGACCTTTGGCACCGAGCTCTCTAGGTCAAGAGCACCAGGAGCGAATTGCACGGGAGATAGAGTTGTCGCTGACATGGGTCGATTGCCCGCAGAGTTCGATTCAGAAGACTTTTCAGGCTCTGGAGGAGTATTGGCAGATGCTGGGGGCACCATATCGATGGGGGACAATGTGTGCAGAAGAGTTTTGTATGCCATCTCCCTTTTATCAAGTTTTGTGCGGTGTGAACCCGTTCGCGAATTCCCGGCATAGATATGATTGGGATAACAGCATGTGTTCGCCTCTAGGCATTCTGAGCTTTTATGGAAACGAGCACTGAAGGTAATGTCGAAGGATGCGATTGCGATACTACGGTGAGAGGTGAGATCTTGAGTTGCTCAACTTGGTACCAAAGCGTCGGGTTCGACGTCGCTGTGGGTAAGCACCTACCGATCATCCGGGTCAACCCAGAGCACTGGTAATTATCCTTCGCTGAGGTAGATCAAGTTTTAAGGCTAGTTAAGGCCGCGCCTTTATAAAGTTTAGACTCGAACGATGGTACGGGAAGGCTGACTATAGTCGGTTAGTTGGACTCATCAGGAAGGGAGGCTGTGCTATAACTGATTTTTGTTATTCCGGTGGTGGCGGCGACATTGTGTCGCTTCGCGTCAGGGTGGTAAGAAGCGGAGAAGGAGCGCCTAGTGACGAGTAGAGCTACCCGTCCACTTTCGAGAACGGAATAGAGAAAATGTAAGATTCATGAAAAAAATCATTCTGGGCTTCATCGTTGAGTAATGGATCCATGACACCACTGATAACTAATAGTCAGGACGGCACCCGTGATGTAGAGGAGCAACAGACTGAAAAAGAGTACAGCAAATTCATAAGATTGTCGATGAAGGACAAGATTAGCTCTTATTGAGGCATCATGCAGACGTGAGGACATCCACAATCCTAAGTCCCCAGCCCTCCCTCTGACATAGCCAAAGTGTGAGGGCTCCGTAACAGTTGACACTAGCGCGGACTCTGTAGGTTCCGTTGAGATCCGAAGAAGGAAGAAGAAACCGTCGAAAGATAATAACGTAAATGTACTATACAGTGATAATGCCAAATGAATCCAAATCCTACAGCGCATCGAAATTGATATGATGCGACGCCCTGCGTCTCTCCAGCTCGTCCTCTCTCTTTATATCAAAACAAATGAGAGATACTCTAACCCAAAATCGAGAAACGCACCTTTTCATTCAAATGCAACACCAGCACAATGACAGCCAACAAGATAGTTCCCACCACAACCGTAACCGTCACCCACGGGATCCAATTGCCCGGCCTCAAAAAGAGTTGCCTCTTCCACGCCGCTCCGTCCGGTCCAGGTAATATGACTACCTTTGAGTTCGGTATGACGCCTTCGATGTTGATGTAATGCTCATCGACGTGCATGGTGCTCCCAACGAAGAGGTTCTCAATGTAGTTGTTCGTCCGACCCAAGCCGAAGAAAGAATAAGGCGATTGAAGGGCGTGATAGGATGTTTGGGGGAGCTGACCAACTATATGGAGGAATATTAGTAAGGAAAGGGTGAGGAAGGGAAGCCCATACTTTGCGCTGCGGAACGACGGCCAGAAGTGTCCAGGATGGTGTACTTGTATGAGGCTCCGGAGTAGCTTACACCGAATGGCTAGAGAAGGTTAGGTTGGGTCATTGCAGTGTACACTATTGAAGGGTATACATACATGATATCGGGTTCCGTTGGGACCGTAACACCATCCGTTATTGCATGCACCATTCAAAACTGGGGTGCGTATTAGCTTCATCGAAAGACAATCGTGCGGACGTACCGATCGCCTTGAGGAAAAACGCGTCATAGTAAAAGTTGTTCTGGACGAATGATATCTTTTCCGACCCAGATCGCTGCACCATAACGTCCAGGGTGCCCTTAGAAATGACGTAAGTGACCAGATTCGCACAGGCAGAGGACGGACTTACATCTTCATCCATATCTACAAAGGATACACTTCGCGCATCCTTGATGGAATCCAACACTTCCGCGCCCTTCTTCTCCACATGCCAGCCCCGTTTGCCACTGCCATCCTTGTCACAACCAGTGACACCCTTCTCGCACGGGACTGAAAACACAAGTTTTGGCGTGTGGTCGATTATGAGTAGCAGATCAGGAAACCCGTCCAGGTTGGCGTCACCTAGCTTGATAGGCAGGGGAACCGCAGGGGAAAGCGAAGTATCGAGGACCAAGAGCGCGCCACTGTCAAGGGAGGACAAGGGGAACCGCACAAAGGCATCATTATCGCTACTATCTCTCAAGTCAAAGTTGAAGTCTGCATCTGCAATGCACAGGTTCTCAGGAGACCGACATTTACGAACACCTTTGACAACAGAGGGTTGGGTGGACGAGGCGCAAAGAGGGAGTTGCTTATTGTAGGCAATGTTTATATAGCAATTGGTTCCAAGACCGCTGGACGTTGATACGGAGGAACACGTGGGGAATATCATGTCAATAGTCCCGTCGCGGTCGATGTCGGCAAAAGATATGGCTTGGACGCCAGAGGGAAGGGAGCCTTGTTGTGCGAGATAGAATCCATCATCTTTCTCGTTAACCCAGATCTGGAAGGACCGTCTGCCCCCACCAGCATCGCATACGAGGAAGACGTCTGTGATCAGGTTAGATTGCGGTAAACAGTAAGAAACCTAGACCTACCTGCAAGGCAATCCCCGTTGAGGTCCACCACTGCATTGCTATGAGGAGAAGCAAGGGTACACTGTGTACCATGAAATTCTGGGTCGATGCTGCAAAATCGTAAGCACAGAATAGCATACACAAGCTAAACGCACATGTCGAACAACGGTGAGTGAGCCTGCGAGGCATTCCACACATTTTGCCACGCCTTCAATGGCTTGTCGGAGTCAGACTGTTATTCCCAATAGGTCAATCTTCATGTCGCCATCCAGGTCGACAGGTATTGGCTGAGGGGCCTTGGAGGAGGCCACGGAAATCGGGCTGGCCTACATCTGACATTAAGTCAGAGACGAACATAGCGTATATATCCAGTACATACCGAATCCGCCGCCAGGCAAAGCAGGGATACAGCACCATGTCGACGGTGCTACCTGTTCTGCTGCGACCCATAACCAACAAATCCAGCTTCCCCGAATGCGTAAAGTCGCCAGGGACAACATTCTCCACCACCGCTGAATGTCTGAACGATGTCGATTCCTTGAACTCAAAATCCACTGTGAAATGTACGTGTCATCTTTCTGCTCGTCTTCAAGTACGAAACTGGCGCTCACCGTGGTCCCAGAGGTATACAATCAGTGTCTGTCGGTCCTCATCGAGCATCAAAACATCTAAGCTGCGTTCACGGTCAGGATATCAATAAAATAACCATGCAACGACATACAATTGGTCTCCATTAAAGTCTCCAAAGGCAATCGCCCTTTCACCGAGTACGATGCCTCTCGACCCAGCGCCCACTAACGAGTTTCCCGTAAATCGTTTTGGCGAGAATGGCCATACAGCAAGAGTTGGGACGACAAGAGATAGAAATAGAGTCCAGAGGCCCTGAGTCGACCATTGCATGGTATTGGTACCGGCGTAAGGTCGGTTGACGTCGCCGGTAGAATTCCAGATTTAGCGCTGTGAATGACTATAGTAGATTAAAAAATGCCTTTTCCTCTATCTCTGATAGTATATCGGTTAGTACACGCGCCTGTCACTCAGATTTCGCGCGAAAGCTGGGTTCGACTCCCAGTCAGAGAGTATCGTTTGTATGATCTCTTCTAATTTTTTTTGCACCACACGCGAAACCTCTTTACTCCTGGCAGTGCTGACTCTTGAGTGGAGTCTGGACACTAGGATGCCTGGAGTTTTGAATCTTGAGTGTTCGTCTCCGCCACTAGTGTTCCGGAATCCAGCTCTCCTTTACATGGTTCGTCTTACCTTGACTGCCAATAAATTGGTAACCGTTTACGCAGTGCCCATAAAAAAGCCCTCCTTCTAGAGGCGGGTACATATACCTCCGGGCTTCTCTGTAGCCGTGAAGTGACTTCGGCTCTCGCATTGTGTTTTCTCGAGGCTCGATTTTTAGTGAAGCTAAAGTAGGTATATTGGGTGTTCATCATAATTTTGAGCGGGACGATATGATTGTCATGGGGACAGACGACGACGACGACAATCACCCGATGAGATCCGAAATCAAGCAGTGTTCAGGAAGAAAAATATAATATATTTATCATGGTACACATATAAAATTAGTAATATCCTCAATACTGGATGGGACTTGGAATCACATGCATTGGCATCTGAGTACCTTCAGACATCTCGTCTCTCACCATGGGAATCATAATCCCAGCATGCTGCCGTTTGATGTCGATGCCTTCCTTAGGAAACGTGAACTTGAACGACTCGAGAAGCTCAAACAGGATAACCTGTAACTCCATAACACTGCAACACATCATGAGCATACATGATAGACAAGAAGGACGAAAACTCACGCGAAACGCCAACCGATACAGGAGCGGACTCCAGCGCCTTACAGGAGAGGAATTATTGAGTGAACTATCTTTATAGTCAAAGCGGCGACTTACTGAAGGACAGACTAAAGGCGGGGAAATGAGACTTGTTTTCTTGACGATTGATACCAAACTTACAGATTAGCATAAACACCAACTGATGTCTGCTTGTCCATTTCACCCAAGAATCGATCTGGACTCCAAGCATCGGCATCGGAACCCCATACAGTTGGATTACTACGGTGGCAACCTAGAGTGAGTGCACATCTGAAATTATGGTGTCGGCTTATACTGACCGATTGTAGTATGCGATTCCAATCTCGACGAGCTGACCCTTCTCCACCTGAATTTCAGTGAGCTTGGCTCCAGTGGATGTCGTCACTGCGTCGGTAAGCGGGATGACGTCGTCATGGGCAGCGATACGCAGCAGGGCGGGAACAATAGGATGGAATCGGAGAGTTTCCTGCGAGCGCCAAACCAATAAACGAGCAAACGACACGAAGGCATAGTTGCGCACCTTGATCACAGCGTTCATAAACGGCATACCATCGTAATCTGCTGAAGTCAGTTCGCCTTTAGTCGCATATCGGCCTCGGATCTCCGCTATTTCTGCGCGGATGCGGTCTTGCTGCTCGGGGTGATTACACAGTTCGAATAGAGTCCAGGTGAGCGTAGACGCGGTAGTCTCGTGCCCTGCCAATGTAAGTGATCTGTCACCGTGAAGACTCAATAAGATTATTTCAAGACGGAATAGGATGAACTGACGTTATCTGGGCAAGGACTTCTTCGTCGCTTAACCTTTTCTTCTCTTCTTCCTGGGAATTCGCACGCGCTATAATATTCGATGAGCCCAAGTGCTTTCAACCGATGGCACCTATCTCACCTAAGATACTCAGAACATCCTTACCAGTTGATGAATATAACCCAGTTCTCTCGGTGTTCTCCTTTAGCAATTCCCGCCCAACCTTTTTGGCAGCGACTTCGAAACTTGAAAAATGCGTCTTTTGCCGGGAAGGAATGAGATCCATGAGTTGGAGGAGAGGCTTTGGCAAGATTCTAGGCAACGCTGAGAATAGTATTCCAGCGCGAGAGGGAAATACTCCTGCGTCGTGGCTGGAAGAGATAAGAAAAATGAATTATTCAAACGACAAGTGCTACGAACAATAAATTGTTCAGGGTATTGGCCAGTTCATTATTCTCGTCATCAAGGGCGCCGTATTGATACCCGAAAGCACCTTTGGTAGTAGTGAGTACTGAATGATGGTATCTTTCAGTTCAGGGGGCTCACTTTCGCCAATAATGTCTAAAGTCAGCTTTCCGAGCCATAGTGTTATATTAATATTCGATTGTCCACCTTCGGCCATGTCAGTAAGCTTTCGAGAGAACTAAACGGCTCGTTAGACTGCAAGTCAAGGAAAGTATTATCACATAGACTGACCTTCTTCGCTGATCGTTGAAAAAGACTGAGAAAGGTCCGAAGTTGTGCTGCAGAGAATGCAGGATTCATGACTTTCCTGTGACGTTGATGAACAGATCCTATGAGTCATGTATTCAGTAACAAGCCCCGCTAACGATTTGAGACGGGACTGCACCAGCTACGGTGATAATTCCCCTCCCAAATAGAATGTTCGAGTTATAAACTGTATCGGGAGCTTTGGGATAACGGTATCCAGAGCCATGAAGGACGTGCTGTAAACCTTTCGGATCGCCGAGGACTAATAGATCTTGCTGCACCTGGAATTAACTACTTTGTTGCAAAGAACATATGTGAAGATACTCACGCCGTAGCAGGCAGTCCCACGGAAGGCTGATCCGTATTCGCGAAACCAAGCAAAGTCCAAGTCGCCGACTTGGTCTTGATGTTTAATTGCATGTTCATTACCTTGGGAATCCAAATCACAAGGAGACGTTACAGGCGAAGATAAGACTCACCAAGAAACCAGGAGTTCGGTGTGGGGCCTCGAAGCTGTTTGACAACGGAATGTTTTCGTCTGGAGAATAAAATAGTAATGGCAATGACAAGAAGCGTGACAATAAACAGAGAAATGGGCTCCATAACTGATACATCTTTGATCTTGGAGCAGCGCAAACTTTATAGTCCGGAATGTAAAGGGAAGTGACAGAATAGGACCAAGCAAGAAGCAACGGGGTCTTTCCAGAATATCAGGCTTCATTCCCATACCAAGACGAGGCAAAAAAAAAAATAGGGGCCTGGAGTGAAATGCATTGCATCAATAACGAAACAAAAGGTTGGACATAAGCAAATTTGAGTCAACGGCCCGAATCATGCGACTTGAACGTCTTCTGTCGTTTAGAACTTCAAGGTCCCGGCGACGAACCTCAATTCAAAGACTGGTGTTTAAAATGTATCGGTTGGCCCAACATTGGCAGTGTTACATATGTGTTATCTGAAAAGGGTTTTGCTCGACGACAGGCCTGGTTTGGGCCTAGGTATGCAAATAAAGGAGAATGACAGTGGGAGAAAAACGATAGAATGCAGCGAAGTTCTCGGTTTTTTCCGGACCGGTGAAAGCGTCAGCCGGAGCCGGCACAATGTTTAGCAACTTCTTTCTGCAACTCGTGCAAATCAACGAGTATGTCTCGAATTGCCACACATACAAATCGTCCGTATGCCATATGACAGCACCCAATTGAAAACTGGGAGCTTTGTTCTTCTTTATAAGACACAGTGTGCCGTATTTCTCGGTTTCAAGCAAGCGTAAGTCTGGCATACTGTTTACTGTCAACAAAGTATTACTTGGTATTCGTAGATTGACCTTTAGGTGCCTCGATCGGCTTCAGTAATGACAACCATCTTCTCCGCAATAGGTACTACTGCTGAAGTAGTATTGGCTATCTGAGTACCCCAAATCCTGGGCTTCTGAATCGTTACATATGATACGTTCCCAATGATCCACCGGGTCAAGAGATTTCCTTCTATGGCATCACATTTACACACAAAGATAAGTATACCGTGGTCGTATGACATTGTCCTTTCCTTTGATACCTAACCCCATAACGCGTACTTTTTTCGAAGGCTCGGTTGAGCGTATAATCCGGGTTCCCAGGACACAAATAACTGTTGTCCTTCCTTTGTCCCTGACTACTAGTTCTGTCATATTCATTGACGTCTTTCGTAGGCCTGGCGCGCGGTCGACCATCGTGCAACCTTGCCGGTATCTGTGTTGGATCGTCAAGGTATGCAATAACTCGGCGTTTGACATGGATCATCACATGGAAGAAGTGCATCTTTTCTTTTATTTTATTGTCCTATCAGGTAATACATTACCATTTCTTGGGTGTAGCCGTAGACCTTACTACAACTATTCAAAAGTAGTCAAACCGTGACTCGTTAAGGTTGGCCTTGAACAGAACCGATGCATAGCTTTATTCCCCTCCTGTTACTACGACCTAGAATTGACGTTCTTATTTACACCGAACGTCGATGATCTACCCCGGCTCAGGTTATATGGCGTGTTTCCATCTGAAAATGATCGAACGTATGTTTTTAGCCCAGGCCGAATGCTAGCTATGAGTATCATTCGTGAGAGCATTTACATAACCGTACATCCAGGCTCACCACATGTAAACAATATCCTTAGAGCACCGCAAAAAAATCTGGGTAAAATACATGATGCAAGTTCTTTCTGAGCGGTAGATTCTCTTATGCGATTGACACTTTATTCCACACTCCATTCAGGCTGCGGATACGGGCAATAGCATCGCTCTTCGTCCCGCAGTTTCCAGTATATCTGTAGCCGACCCTATGCCAACAAAGTCGTGCTCATCTTTTGAAGCAGGAGGGAAATCTGGGGGCCTGACCCCTTTCAAAAAGCTGTCTCTCTGCCTCTCGATGTACGCTCTGTTCATTGGTGTGAGAGGCACCGAGGGAATGTACATCACTATATCACAGTGAATATAGATGTGAGCAGGACCACAGGTGAGATGCGCACCACAAGAATCATCCCTTCCGGTATGTTCGACTTCGACAGAATGGACCATATCGCAGTGCCAAAACACGGTGTCACCTGGAAGAACCTTTGGCACTGATATCATGGTCTTCTCGAGTCTGAGGTGAGGATGCGAGATTGGTGTTGGCCTCGGCCCGGTATATCCGCTTCCTCTGGGAATGATACCAGGGAAGTCCGGTATCGAGATATCTATGCGAAAATGAGGTCAATTTGAATGGGAGAGGAGGATGTACCCACCGTACTTCCAGCTCTGTGCCTTCAAAATGTCGGGAGAGTC